TGACTCAAAGGAAATGTACTATTCTCATTTTTCAAACACGGTAGATCATTTTCATTAAACACAACATTTCTGCTTAAAATGATCTTATATCCTTTGGTTTTCCTTACCCATAGTCTATACACTTTCACTCATTTACCATAGTCTAAGAAAACACACTTACGTGCTCTTGGATCTAGTTTTCCTTCTGATTGATGTGCAAAATCTGTATACCCAAAGACTCTCAAGTTACTTAGGTCATCAGGCTTTCCATTCCACATTTTTTCAGGAGTTTTAAAGTGTATAGCACTAGCATGATTTTTATTAATAAGATAACTAACAGTTTTTAGAATCAAATAAGTTTTGAGTTTGNAGGAGTTTTAAAGTGTATAGCACTAGCATGATTTTTATTAATAAGATAACTAACAGTTTTTGCAGCTTCCCCCCAAAATAGATTGGGAAGACCAGAACTTAATAGTACCCATCTAACCTTTTTAAGAACATTTCTATTCATTCTTTCAGTTAAGTCATTTTGTTGTGGAGTGTGTGTTACAGTTTTGAGTCTTAATATACCATGCATTTTGAACAGCTCATCAAACTCAAAATTGAAAAATTCTAGGCTATTATCATTTCTTAATACTGTAATTCTTTTATGAGTTTGGTTTTCCATGAAAATTTTCCAATCCTTAAAGGCAACAAAAGTATTAGACTTTGATTTTAAAAGAAAAACCTAATATTTTCTAGAAAAATCATCAATGACTAACAGAAAATATTTAAAATCAGTATGAGGAAGCACAGAAGTTGGTCCCCAAAGATCAATATGCAAGTATTCAAGTATAGACACAGATTTACGCATTTCAGGAAAAAAATGATAATCTATTATGCTTTCCTAGAATGCAATAATCATAAAAATTGAATTTCTCAATGTTATCTTTTCCAAAAGGACCTTGTTTTTTCAAAACATGTAAACCTTTGTCACTAATATGACCCAATCTTTTGTGCCATATTTGTGACTTATCATTTGGAACAGAGATTGCTGCTAAAGTAGAATCAAATAAGTTTTGAGTTTG